GAGCCACCCAGGAGGCGAGCCTCTGTTTGCGAATCCAGCTTAGTCGTGACAAGGACCACGCTGGGGGCGCTGGTCGTTTTGCAGCATGGAAGTGGGTAAGGGCGAACGTGGGGTCCGTGGCCAAGGCACGGGTTCAAGGCTAGAAACCCGGTCTCACCCTGGCCATGCCGTATTTCCTCACTGGAGACTTAGGCAAATCTACACACACACACACACACACACACACACACACACACACACACACACACTGGTCCTCAGTTTCCTTATCTGCGAAGTGGTAATGACGACTGGACTTCCGTAAGAGTGGGCATGCGGATGAACCGAAGTGGTGTTGGCAAAACGCATGCCTTAGCACTGCGGCAGCGTTTAGTAGTATACAGCTGGGAGACCTGCGGCACGCCCTCTTTCCTCCGTGGGCCTCAGTTTGCTCTGCCAGAAATGGGAATCTTCCGAGGTCTGTCGAGGACCCGAAGCCACCGGGGCGCGGGAGCTAGGAGAATAGAGGAACCCCTCCCCCATCCCATTCTGAGCCTTTTACCTGGGCTGGGGGAGGAGGTAAGGGAGTGCCCAGCATCCCCGGGGACAAAGGGGTCCCTGGGCTGCACCAGGCTGAGCACTTGCTCTGGGTGGGGAAAGTCTACCCCATTACTCATTTACCAGAGAAAGGCACCACCTCACATGTTGCCCCTGCCCCTTTGCGGAGAAAAGTGTTGATATCAGCAAGGCCAAAATGCCGGGTCTTCAAGGGGTAGGGATGGGGGGGGGGGCCGGTGCGGGAAACCACAATTATGTACCCACAGGGATGCAACCAATCTGAAGGCTCTGGCCCTTGGCCTCGACTGACTTTGTCTGGGACCCTGACCTGAGCCGCCCCCACCACCTGGCTTGGGTTGGAGTTGGCACCTTGGTCCCACCGGCTAGAGACTCCGCGCAGACCATTCCTCAGTCTTTCACCCCGTGGAATTAAGGACGGAATGGGTAGCCAGCCCACTTGCTGTGCAAACTTGGCCAGGTTCCTTTGCTTCTCTGAGCCTCAGTTTCTCCTCATGTAAAATGGAAACGTTTGGCCCTACAGAAGGGGTTCTGTGGTTTCTGTGAGATGCCATGGATGAATCTTGCTGAGGAAGGAGAGCCGCTGGGGTTTAGCTGCAGAATCCCCACATCTGACCCCTGAGAAACACTAGCGGCTGCCGGAGCTGGAGGCGCTCTGAGCTCCATCAGGGAGGGACCCTCAGAGAGAGGAAAACAGGAGTGGGCAGTGGAGGGTATGGAGGGGAAAGGCTAGGGTCTCCTGGACATTGTTGAAGAAGACCCAGGCAGCGTAAGCACAAGTCTGGGCTGGGGGACCCAGTGGTCTAGGGAGCTGGGCTCAGAGGCGGTTCTCCTCCTCTCCCTTCACCTTCCCCCCCTCCCCAGAGGTCACACTATCATAAGTTGGGAGCCCTGAGGTTGAACGAGGCAACACTGCACCCACCCCTCACGGCCCCAGGTGCCAGCTCAACATGTGGGGACTCACAGCCCCTCACCCACCTTGTGCTTCCACCAGGGAAGCACACATTGATCTGGACGGGCCACAGAACAGGGACTGACAGACAGAAGTGCATTGGAGACAGACACGCAAACCCAGAAAGACACACGAATACACAGGCAGGGAGACGCAGAGACCCAGAGACAGGCCCAGGGAACATGGACACGTTCGCAGACTGCTAGGCTTGGGCCAACACAGCGCTGTGAACGCTCGGCCACCAGTAGACAGCGGGACACCGCAGACGCCCATAGGGCCTGTCCCCACAGGCCTACTAGCTCCTCCCATTAGCTGCCCGGGGAAGAAGAGGGGGTGGCATGATGGGAGGGCAGGTTTGGGGCGATCTCTGGCCCTTTCCCTACCCAGAGCTGCGGGCACCAGTCACTCAGCAGAGCAGGCAGTGGCCGGCCCAGGCCGCAGGGAGGCACTGAGGAGGGAGGCTGGCCAGTAGAGGCCTGGGCCCAGGCCCTCACTTACGGAGCGGAAGGCGAGCTCTCAGGCCGGATGAGGGTGGACAGCGGGCACCAGGGGTCCGAGGGAAGACTCCGGCAGCCCAGGTGGGGCAGCGGTGACCGTGGGCACACAGGAACTCCTTCACGCCACGGCGGGCGGCAGGCGGACAGTAGGCTGGCCCTGTCCGTCCGTCCTCCTCCTCCCCGCCCTGGGTGGGGGGGCACCGGAGGCCCAATTGGTCTCTGCCCCCACGTGACTCTGCAGGCCTCTCTCCTTCTTTGTTGGTGTTTCTCTTCATTTAGGTCTATTTTTTTTTTTCTTCTCCTAAAAGAAAAAAAAAAAAAATACCCCTATCTATCTGGGGGCCGTGGTGGGGGTGGAGGCCAAGGCACTCTGGAGGCCTTGGCCAGCTGGCTGTTCCAGGCCGCTGTGGGAGCCCAGAGGCAGGGACCCCATGTAGGCGGGTAGGCAGCCCCGCTTGTTAGCGACTGGGTGGGAGTGGGGCCTGATTTATGGGCGGCTCCCCCACCAGGCCTGCAGCCTGGCCTCTCTCCCCTTGAATGGCTACCTCCCTGGGGCCTGGCCCGGCAGGGTCCGGCCTGGCCCAGACATGGGAGTGGAGTCAGGTCATCCTGGAGTGGAGACAGGGGCATGGATGACTTGACCAGGTGGCCCTGCTGCTTTGGCTTGATCTTTTTACTCTTCCGGAAGGTGAAGAGAGGAAGAGGGGAATGGAAGGCAATCAGGTGAGCTGACTAAACACCTCCCGGGTGCGTTCCATGTTGGCTTTCCTGAATGTCACCATCTGCTGGGGGCTGCTAGCTGGGGAAGCTGAGGCTGGACTGTATTAGTGTATTCAGGGCCAGGTGGTTAGCTAGGCCAGGGTTGGGCCAAGTGGGTAGCTAGGATAGGGCAGGATAGGGCAGGGCAGAGGGCAGGGGGTTTTGTCTAGCAGGCCGGGCCTCCCCACGCAGCCAGGGCCTCCCCACGCAGCCAGGGATGTCCCTGTCCAACCTCCAGGTCCAGACAGGTCCTGAACTGTCCTGGTCCCATAGGGCCCAAAGTGCTCTGTTCTGCTCCCTTCTGCTGCCTGACACCCTCTTTTGTGCATTCCTTCATTCACCTCACGTTCACTGAGTGCACACTAGATGCCAGGCACTGGATAAAAGGGAAGAAAAGGGAAGAAGTCTCAGTTCTTGGAGGATTTACCTCATAGACATTGGTCCTGGGGGTTGGGGCAGGGCACAGGTGTCCATGGGGCAATCATTGTTGAAAACCCTCACCACACCCCTTCATTTGAGGAAGGAGGCCAATCACACAGCACCTCACTTATCTGGCTTGGGAGGAACAGGGATTTTCTGGATAACCGAGGTCAACTCTATTTAAAACCTAGTGTGTCTTCCTCATTGGGCCACTGAACACACTTTCACTTTGTGAAAGTACATACAAGACAAAAATCTTCCTGACGGTCATAACTAATTGATTCTACCGATTAAGTATACAGTAGTCCCCACTTATCCGTGGTTTTGCCTTCCACTGTTTCAGCTACCTGTGGTCAACCAGGGTCAGGGAGTAGATGATCCTCTTTGTGACGTGTTGTTAGAAGGTCAACACATAGTGGCCTAACGCCTTGTCACAGTGCCTCCATCATTCCCCTCACTTTTCATCACGCAGGCACTTTATCACCTCACAAGGAGGAGTACGGTACAAGATATTTTGAGAGAGACCACATGCACATAACTTTTATTATTATAGGTAGGATATATAGGATATTATTAAAATTGTTCCATTTTATTATTAGTTATTGTTACTGTGCCTAAGTTATAAATTAAACTCTGTCATAGGTATGTATGTATAGGAAAAAGCATAGTGTATTCAGGGTTCAGTACTATCCATGGTTTCAGCCATCCGGAGGGGGTCTTGGAATGTATCCTCTGCAGATACGGGGGACTACTATATTCTTTTTTTTTTTTTTTTTAATAGCCCTTCATGCCCAGCGCAGAGCCCAATGCAGGGCTTGAACTCACGACCCTGAGATCAAGACCTGAGCTGAGATTAAGTCAGACGCTTAACCAGCTAAGCAACCCAGGCACCCTGGGACTACTATAGTCTAATTCTACTATATTTAAATTCTAATTTCTACCTATGACATAACATATCACTTACTTCTCAACATGCATGACCTCATAATTTTGCCTTCTTCATCCACCGAAAAAATTCATCTTATAAGATATACTTCTCTTGCATGTGACCGAACCTAACTAGTCTCCCCATTTTTTTTTTAAGTTTATTTATTTATTTTGAGGGAGAGAGTGAGCAGGGGTGGGGAAGAGAGAGAGAGGGAGAGAGAATCCCAAGCAGGTTCTGCGCTGTCAGCACAGAGCCTGACATGGGACTCGAACTCACGAACCATGAGATCATGACCTGAGCAGAAATCAAGGGCGCCCCATTGTCTCCTTATTTCAATGTAATGATTTTGTTTCTGGATTGATACCATTCAATCCTCTGAATTTAAGAAAGAAATATCCCAGCAACCACCTTATCATCACCAACATGTCACATACATGTAACAACAAACAACCATGGTCCTTTGCACGTCGTTTGATGGGAGACCATGAAATGAGGTCCACTTTCACTGCCTTCTTATAACAGGACAAAACAGGGTCTTTCAACACTGTGGTGTCATGGAAAGAACTAGCCTGGCTTTGTCAGTCTCCTGGTGAGCCTCTGGGCCCTGAGTAGAACTGCGGAAGGATTCGTGGTGGAGACTCTGGCTTAAATCCGGGTTCTGCCATTTCCCAGCTGTGTGACCTGGGACCAATCACTTCTCTGTCTGAGCCTCACATTCTCTCCATAAAATGGGGACAAAATGAGACAATACATGTAACATGCTCAGTGGCTGCCTGGCATGTCATGTGTGCTCAGTAAATGTTAGCAAAACACAAACAAGCAGCAAGCCGAAGGCCTGGCCGGTCAGTCCTCAGGGGCCCTTTCTGTGTTGAGTCTGAGATTGCACCATCATCCTGAACACTGTTTGCCCTTCTGTGATAGGGTGACTCACCCCGGCCTGGGGAACCCTCAAGGAAAGGCTCAGGGCTGATTTATCTCTGGGGCCACAGAAGCCAGCACAGAGCAAGCAAGCATCTGTGAGCATTTGTTGAATGACTACTTACAGGGCACCAAAGGCCCCACAGGCCCCACATGCTGCTGGTGGGGGGTGGGAGGGAGAGTTCTGCTGTCTCCCCCTCCTGTCCCTAGGCAGTCAGCGGAAGCTTTCTGCCACTCAGGCTGGGAGCTCCTCTCCTCTGATTGCCCTGGATATGTTTATGGGCATCCCCTTCCTCTGCACAGCCCCTCCTCTGCCCTCACCCTTACTGGGTGAGGCTGGCAAGGCCCTGACACGGAAGTGCCTATGTGCTGGGTCCCCTCTATTCCACACCTGTGGTCAGCCTCCACCATCCTGGGAGCTAAGCAGTATTTTCTCCTCACCTTCCATGAGCAGCATTTGAGAGATGAAGAAACTCAGGTTCAGGGAGACAAGGTGTCTTCCCAAAGTCACAAAGCAAGGGTGCGATGGAACTAGGATTTGAATCCACACAGCGGGCTTGCAGAGTGAGAATCCTCTCTGCTCTGCCAGAGCCCCTGGGTGGCCTATTATTTGTCCTTTGCTTCAAGCTCCAGCCCAGGTGGTCCCAGGCCATGAGACCCACCCAGAGGGGAAGGAGAAGGGGTGTAGTCCTGACCCAGGCTCCCCTCCCTCCCTCCCCAAGCAAACAAAGCCCAGGGTCTCTCTTCTAAGTGGGGACTTTCCCAAAGTGCCAGGCCTATTTCCTGGCGGTGGAACAAGGAACAAACAAACTAGAGACCTAGAAACTGAAATGGAGAGGAGAGAGAGAGAATCATCAGGCTGGGGTTGGGGCACAGTGTAGAAAGACAAAGAAAGAACCCATAGAGAAACGAGGCAGAAGAGGAGAAAAGAGACCCATTGACAGCATAACAGACCCAGAAATAGAGAAAGAGAGAGAGGGAAAGGGAAAGGAAGAGGGACAGGGAGAGAGAGAAAGAAAGAACAGGACAGAGGAAGGGGAGAGAGGTGGAAAGAATGAGAGCAATTCAGAGAGAGAGAGAGAGAGAGAGAGAGAGAGAGAGAGAGAGAGAGACAAAGTGGCAATGGGGGAGAGGGAGACTGAGGCAGGGAAGGAGACAAGAGAGGGGCCAGGCCGGGAGCTGGAGGCAGGGGGAGTGCGGATGTGGAGACCCCTCGCAGGGCAGGAGGGGGTGGGGCTGCTGGCAGCAGCGGAGGCTGTTTCCGCTGCACCCCTTATCAGCCTGCTGCCAGATGTTCAGATCCGATGCCAATGTCAGAGAAGTCCGTAGTGCCAGGTCAAGGCCGTGGCCAGCGGGAGCCTCAGCTGCGGTGTGGGGAGGGGGGTAGGGGGACGGCAGTAGACCTGCTTGCTCTTCTCCTGGTTCTCTGGACTGGGCCACCTGGTGGGGGTGGGAGACACCAGGTGCCTCCGGGGGCTACGTCTCTAGTCTGAGGGCAGGGGCTAGTGGAGGCAGAGTAGGACTCCTGGCAGCACGTGGATGCATACATGTGTACAAACGCCCACGTGTCTGGAAGCACATGGATAACGCACACAGACCCACACTGGCGCACATGAGTGCACAAAGCTGCACGGGGACAACTCGGCGGCCTGTGCACAGCCACCCCCTCCACTGCACTCCTCTGCACGAGTCCCTGCTCTGCCTGGTCACCCCCTCGCCTGAGCCAGGACCACGGCTGGAGCTGGAGAGGTGAGGCTCTATGGCTGGCAGGGTTTCCAGGTCTACAAATGGGATACTCACCTAATCTGCATGCCCTTAAGGGCTGGGCTGAGGAACCTGGGACCTTCTAGAATCTGAGGCCTGGCAGAGATCCTCTGGAGGAGGTGCAGGGGCTTGGTGTCTGACAGGGCTGGGGCTTCAGCCTTGGGCCTGGGCCTCTCCGCCATGCTCCTGGAGCGTGCAGCCGCAGCTGGGGCCCCCTTCCTGGAGTAGTTTATCTCACAGTGCACACGCTTGGCCCTCAAGGGGTGACCCAGCCTTGCTCCCCACATTCCTCTTCAGCCGCGCAGCCGGTGGGCCCCCCACAGCCCTGAGACAGGGCCTGTACTTGGGGGGTGGTCGGGAGCAAACCACTCAGAGCCATTCTGCTGGCCTCTTGGCCCCAGACCTTTGCAGCTGTCTCTTTGCTTCTCTCGGCTTTTGTCTCTGAGCATCTCTCTAATTTTGTCTCTGCCATGATTAATCTGTGTCTATCACTGTTTTTGCCTCAATCTTTCTCTGGCAATGTCCCAGTTTGTTTCTGTTTCAGTCTCTTAGTCTGTCTTTCTCTAGGGTCCTGGAGCCGGACCGGTCTGGGGATACCTTTGCTCTGCTCTCTGGCTCACAGTGGCCAGCTTCAATGGGAATGGATATGAGAAATAAGGCTGTAGGCAAGGGGGCAAAGGGCCTGGGCAAGTGGAGGCCCTAGACTCACAATGGGTGAACTGGGGCAGCCCAAGCAGAAGTCCAGACCCCCTGCCACCCACCTGCTAAGAGTCAGTCCAGATAACGGCACATAGCTAGCTGGTGGGCTCCCCCATGTAGAGAAGATGGGGGTGGGTGGGTGGGTAGGAGAAGGAAGCTGGGGCTGGAGGTCTCCTGGCCTGAGGGCCTCCTTCCTGTTTGTTGGGAAGTGACTGCCTCAGAAAGCTGTTCAGGGGAGAGGAGGGAGGCCATGGTGACTTCCGGGAAGCTGGCCAAGGGCCCGAGGCCACCCTCCCTGTGCCCACATGGGGCCTGCTGGCCCTGGCTTAAAATAGTGCAGTTCCTCTGCTGCCGCAGGGCCCGGTCCAGGCCTCAAAGGGCTGCTGGCTGCTACTCATGCGACAACCAGGGTGGAGGGGATTCACGCAACCATCCGACCCTCCCCAGTTCGTAGCCGTGGTGACTCACAGTGTGGGTAGGGAGTTGCAGAGGAAACAAGGGGTCCTGGGTCAGACACCCTGGATGCAAGTGTCAGCTCCAACACTGACCAGCTGTGAGACTTTGGGCTGGTCCGTTTTGCCTCCTTGAGCCTTGGTCTCCACTACGTAAAAGTGCTGGGCTTTTAACCTAAAAGACACGGTGTGTAGACTCCTCAGAACCTTGCCGGGCATAGAGTGGACACAAGAACGGGAGTTCCTTTTGCATCTCCTGCTGGCTGTGCCTCAAACTCCTCACCCTGAGGAGGGGCCTCCTTGGAGCTTTCCTCAGTTCCTACACTTCTCCTAGGACTAGGTATTGAACAGGAAAGGTCTGTGGAGAGGGAGATTGCCGGGAGGGCAAGGATGGGGCTGTGGTCTCCATGGTGAGACTTGTTGCCAAGGGAACAAGACTCCGAGAGCCCTAGGTCTGACGGTTGGGCACTTTTGCCACAGCATCTCAGAGAGCTGGTTACCACTGTGGACTTAAAACCCTGGTGGGCAGCCAAAGCCAGAGAGGTGGACTGTGGCTCTTCTGGGCTTCTGTTATTGGGGTGTGAGGGGTTGTGGCTCCCCTCATAACAGCTTCCAACCAGGGACGGTGAGTCCTCCTTAACTGCTAAGACAGGCACGTCATCTCCATTTATCTGGCCAGGAAAGTGAGAGGTATCAGTCTGGGTCAAGGCCACATACAACTGGTAAGGGGAAGAGCTGGAATTAGACCTCGGATGGTGAGACCCCTGAGGTGCCTGTCACACAAGCTAACTGAGGGAAATGATCCCTAAGGGAGGGATCCATGTAGCCACATCCAATCTGATCTCAACACCCATCATTTTCTTGGTGGTTTCTGGCTTCAGACTCTGACATAAGCCAGAGCTGTGGCCCTAGAGATGATCTTACTCACCTCAGAGGGTTTGCGTTAGGATAAGGAAGTCAGCACAAATCCTACGTAACAGGAGGCACTCAGTGCTCGCTTATGCTAATTCCTGAGGTTACATGAGTTACGTAACCTTGGGCAAATTACTTACCCTTTTGGGGCCTCGGTTTTCTTATCTGTAAAATGGGATCTTCACAGCATCAACTTCAGAGGGTGACTTTGAGGAATCAGTAATGTAATGCGTATAAAATGCCGAGTACTGTGCTTTGCCTTGCTCTATGTATGTTTCTTTATTATTCTTCCAGATTATTGCCTGGCACTCAAGGAAACCAAAAGCTCAGCATTAGTTCCATAGCAATTTATAAATTTAGAGCAATGTTCTACATTTTGTTCCATGGAACACTGTCCCAGCAGAATTTTAACAGGAAGAAAAAAATATTCCATGTTTAAATACTTTTCTGGTAGGCCCTGGGCTAAACAGAAATTAGCTTTCTTCAGGTAAGATTTCTCAGAGCCTTTAATATGCCAACGAAGGTTGGGAATCAGTTAAGAGGAAGGTAGACTGAGTGCAGTATTTCCCAGGTTTTTGGCAGTGGAGCTCCTACTTTTTCCAGGAAGCCACCTTGTTGGGTTGTCTGTGTTCTGAGAAACCATAGATTCAGTGTCTGTAGTACTGTACCTATTTGGGGGATGGCACCACTTTTCAGATTAATTTGGTTAGGTCCATTTACTCACCTCTTACAGAAATTAATCCTTTATTAGTTTCATAGGGTTTTGTTTTGTTAATAGCAAAAAGTTCAACCAAAGGCCATTATTGAGTTTTGTTACAAACTCCAGACATTCATATTCAGCACTGTTGAACTGCTCAGGCAGAGCAGGGGGGAAGCCTGTTGTAACTTTGGTATCAGATAGACCTGGATTCAAAAGCCAACTCTGCCACTTACTCATATGTCAACTTAGGCAAAGCGCTTACTTTCTTTGGGCCTCAATTTGCTTAGGAGTAAAATGGGGCTGAAGCCTACACCTTATAAAGCTGTTCTGGGAATTACAGGAGATCATGCATGTGAAGCCCCCATCACAGTGCCTGGCCCTCACTAGGCACTCAGCGAATGTGTTTCTTCTCTTCCTTGCACCTCTGTGTTTTATCTGTTTCCTATTGTGCAGCAAGGAAAAGTCTACTAATTAGTTCTGCAGGGTTTCCTTCATTCTAAAACCACCTCTTTCAAACCTCAAGGGTTCTCTGGTCCTTTGTGCCAGAGGAGGCTGAGGTGTGGGAAGGCAGCTGGGCTTTCTCTCATTTCACACATGGGGACTTAATAGATTTTGATCAGACTCTCCTCAGCCTCTATGGTTTCAAACTGAGGAACCTTCATCTTTCCTGTCTTCATATAACCCACAACCCCAATTCTGACACTTCTCTGATCATATGAACAGCAGGATTACAGGACAGTTGGGCTCTCAAGTTGGACATCTTTGGGTACACGTCTTGACACTTCCTGTGTGACTTTGGGCACAATCCTTGACCCCTTAGAGCCTCCACTTTCTCAGCTCTAGAAAACCTCGTCTATTTACTGGGAAGACAGATGTTCATAGGCTGGACCGTGGTGTCATAATAGGCAAGCTACCACCAGCAGACTGCTGCACTGAGATATAGCTGTCTTTCAGAGACTTGGCAGATGGCTTTCCTTCCTAAACCCCTGAATGTGGCATTCAAGGCTCCCAAGGGCTTCTCCAGCCTCAACTCTTGCTAATCCCTTCCATCTGCCACCATTCCTGCCACGGCAATCCCTTGTTATACCCAAATATTGAATGTTTCTGATTCAAAGCTGGGTGGGCCTTCAAAGATGTTGATCTCTCTCACCTCTACCTGGTCTAGCTTCCTTTCTGTCCGGTGCCTTTCTTCAAGACCTGCCTTCAACACTCCTCTGTGAAGCACTTCCTGAGTAGAACAAGCCACTCCCTCCTCTACACCCTTACAACCTCATATATGTCCTTCATCACAACTGGATCCCACTGTACTGCAAAGGTCTGTGTTTGCTTCCCCCACCAGACTTAGTTCCTCTAGTTGTGCCACCTTCTGACTGCATGACTTTGAATGAGTCCCTTCACCTCACTTCAATAAAACAGAAGTAATAATCCTTGGAGCTCAAGGAGGTTCAGGTTTGTGAAAAGTCCCAGCGTAGCACCTGGCACTCAGAGCAGACACCTTACTCAGTACTGGGCCATTGATTCAAGCAGCTCTGCGTTATCCCTCTGCCAGACCCTCAGCAACAGGAACTGAGTGGGGAGGGTGTCTACTACAAGCAGGAGCAACGGGTCTGAAGGCCCCAGCCAGCTCCTCTGGACACCCCACCATCCCTCCCCAGAACCCCAGACAGGCTTCACAGACAGATGCCACGTGCAGAAGGATTCACATTTATTGGTTCAAATACAGTACCTAACATTTGCTAAACATGCATTTCACACTAATTGGTCACATTTCCACAGGTAGTCAATTCACAGAAAAGGGCCCATCCCTTGCCAGCTGGCAGGGTGGGAGGTAGCAGAGGGCCTGGGTAGCCCTTGGCCGGCCCTTTGGGGACAAGGGCTCAGAGACATCCCATATGCGATTCCTACACAGGACTGTGGGTGGAAGCGGGCCAACGGTAGGTAGCTGAGGGACACATTCACTGATGTGTGTGCCACTACAGCACCGGACGGTGGGGTTGTGGGAGGTGGTGCTCCCTGTGCCTTGGATCACAGGAAGGAAATGGTGATCTCTGCGGGGGCGGGGGGGGGGGGGGCGGGTGGCTAGTCCATGGCTGGGCAGGTGGCTGGGACTCCCCAGACACGGCCCAGACATTGCAATGCAGCCACAAGCCCCTATCGCAAGCCTGGGATGGCAACACGGACAAGAACACCAACACCCCAGGGCAGGCAGGGCTTCTTTCCTGACAGAAACATGTAAACAGAGAGGGAGCTGCAGTATTCTTTTCCCACAGGATTCCTCAGGGAGGAATCGATCAGGATGTCATTCAAGAGGTAGTTTTATTTTTTTCTTTTTCATGGAAATTTGAGTCAACAACATTCTTACCTATTATAAGACATTTCAGAGAAAGAAAAAAAAAATGGTCACCAAAGGGCAAAAATGATCCTTTGGCTGGCAGGGCTGGCTCCAGGATTTAGAAGACCAGCCTCCACCAGTAACACAACTTTCTTCTTGGGCTTGGAGCAAACTCTGGCCTACCTCACAGCTTCCCTTTGAGCCTGCAATTGATTCTTGAGCAGGCTGTACTTCATTTAGGGCTGCAGGCCCAGAGGAGGGAGGCCAGACGGGAGCTGGATTGGGCAGAGGGACCAGGCATTTTTATGAGCTGGTATACCGAGGCAGAGCTACCGTGGCTCATGTTGCAGGACTGCCAGAAGTCTTCAAGTTTCAAGGTAGCCCAGGTCTAGCTGAGAAGGAAGCCCCAGCTTGCTCCCAGACTCCACATGTTCTCTAGGGCTCCTGCTTCTGAGGAAACAGTCCAGGCCTAGCTCTCAAGCCCAAAAAAAGAAGCTGCTGCTTGTGGCAGCCAAGAGAGGGGTTTCTGGGGACCCTGTAATTAAATACACATCCCTGAGCTGTGGCCCTAGAAACCCTTGCCTCGAGGCTAATCAGTTTCCAGCACCTGGTGGAATGATTGCCGTTTCTCATCCTGAGACACAGATAAAACATCATTTCACAGACACTGGACATAGATGCTTCAAGCTGAGGAAAAAGGGAGGAATGATTAACTGCAAAGGCAGAGGGGAGTGTAGGGGATTCTCATGGATCAAGTTGGGGAAAGTAAGAATAGTGTGGGTGTTTTTTTTTGTTTTTGTTTTTTTTTTTTTGTTTTAGTTTTGTTTTTTTGTTTTAAAAAATCAATAAAGAAAAGTTTAATAAAAGAGCTGGTCTGAAAGCCTGGATTTCTTAAAATAATTGCAAAATTTTAAAAAGCAACAAGGAAAAAGGCATATAAACCAGGGCCCCAGAGCTCAAGACTTGGAACAACTGCTCAACTTCCTGCCCTACTGAGAGGCCAGGGTCCCCTTACTTCGGCCAACCTTGGACATGGCTTAGGTGCTGCCCAGTGTGTTTGTTCATCTGTCTCCATCTGTCCCATTCCTCAGGAAATCAAGAACAAACAAAGTTAGGAAATGGGGAGCAGAACAAGGTAGCTAACTCAGAGAGCCCAGGATTTTAAGGACCTGGTAACATATTGGCCATGGCAGGTACTCACATCCCTGAAATGGGGTGGCAAGTGAGAAGCAAGTCGGTGTGGGGTGGGTGACTGTCAGCAATGCCTTAGAGACCCTGAGATTCCCTTGATGCATCCTCTGGTTCTGGAGAACAGGACAGGGAGGTTCCTGCGTGCTGCCTTCTATCCCTGGAGGCTCGCTCACCTCACTTACAGGGCAGACATGGGGCCGGGTGTCCTCTGAGCCAGGTGGAGTGCTTAGAGACAGGTTCTGGGGAGTTTCTCCAGACTAAGGGCGAGACCACTGAAACTCGTGAAAAATTCCAAAATTCTACAAAGGAGCCAGAGAGCATGAGTTGTAGGTGAAGTTCCAAGATTCCAAACTTTTATCTTGGGTCGAGAAAACACTTAATGGGAAAGGAAAGGAAAAGCCTGTGTGTTTCAATGCAGTGCACACAGCTTCACCACAGCTTTCAGGGTTATAATTTTATGGTGGAAAAACTCTCACTCAAAGTGAGCGCTGTTGGTAGCAGGGGATCAGAGAGAGGACAGAAGAGAAGGGAATTAGAGACAACATGCACAACTTTTTTCTTCTTCCACTAGCAAAAAGGCTACCTTGTTAACCAAACATTATGGGAAGAAAGGCAAAAAACAAACACACCAAACCTCCCCCTCCAACCTTTCTCTGTGTCCTTCAAACCAAATTCACAAATACATCTAGTGGCTGACCTAATGTCTCCACGCTGCTAGCTACACTCCTACCTTCTCCTCCTAATACCTGAGTTTGCAATGCAACACATTCACTTTACCCTGTTTAAAAAAAGCCCACGTCATAAAAGGACTGGGTGCAGAAGACATTAAAGGCTGTCCACAGGTCAGGCTCCGGCTTGGAACACACGGCCACTTGGCTCAGAAATTCTGCAGGGCTCTTGGCAATGAATGGGCTCTTTGTTCTGTGGAATCTGCTGCAAACATTTGTAAAAATGGATTTGTACAATGGCAACTTGCAGAACCTTTCCCCCACTCCACAAATTAACAACTTGCTCTGTTTAATGCTGCGTTATTGGAGAGACATGCTCTTGCCTTGTCAGAGAGCAATTTCCTTTGATATCCAACACAACCGGTAAAATGCTTAATTTAAGAGAAAAGCAATTTCAAAAAATAGTTTGACACATGGAGGTCT